GATGGTAGGGGAATCCCCTCCACACGGTTCAGTATACACGGTAAAGCATTGAGTTGCGCAGAACGATCAAAAACTGAACTGTGCCCGCTCCTAGACTCTCGGGAACTCAGGTATAGATTCCATTTTTCTTGAAATCGTCTAATTTTCAATTTGGATCCATTTAATCGACAGGTCCTCGTCACATAATGAAGAAGACGGACACCTGTTACTACATGAGCATCACGAAAGAGGAGAACTCTGCGTTCGTAGTGGCGAACAACCAGACCAGCGGCACGGAGGGGACGCAGGTGGTCGTCGAGACGAAGACCGACGTGACCGTGAACAGCGCCTCGACGAGCAACACGACGACCAACAACACGACGACGACGATGAACTCTGGTACCGGAGCTGGGACGACCACGACGACCACGACGATTTCGACGAGCTGCATCGCCGGTGGTGATGGGAACGGTACAGCAAACAAGCCCGGTGCCAACGAGCACCGTCGTTATTTCAACGGTTGTAACAATGCGCTGAACGAAACAGCTTGCTGCAGACAGGAGGCGACCTGCACGGGGCCCCGTGGACAGACCGTGCACGGTACACAGGCGCACAGGGCCCCACAGGTTATATTGCAGGTCCTCCCTAGCACGCCCACACCACTCGAACACCACAACATACTCGCATCCGATGTCCACCGTGAGTGTCGCATGCCGCTTGCCTTTAACTCTCTCTCTCTCTCTCTCTTTCTTGTATTAATTAATTCCTTCTATATCGAATCGTACTTTTTAGTATTTTATATTCGCGGTATGGTCGTATTTAATTTATTACGTTTTATTAATCGATGTTGGAAATTTAATTTACGAAAGGTAATGTGACTCTTCACCTGGTAGATTCTAATTGTACTCGTATGGCTTATTTGCTAGCAGAATCCTGAATTCACCCTTAAACAATTAAAACAGTTAGGCTACTTCCTCTGATAAGGAAAAGTGAAAAAGTGAGATTGGAAAAATGAATATTTCATCGTGTATAAAATTAATTATAAGCTGCATGCTGTAAATTGAAATTTTAATAATTTTTTATAATCCTTATTATATTTTTCTACCAACGAGTATGTTGTAAATATAAGTTTACTCCTCGATCGTTTCTCGTATGAATAAAATTATTTTACACGAGAGGCTTTAGCATGGCTTCGCAACCCGACGCAAGTTCTTTTTTTATTCCTATTACCGTGGCTGCATGTTGTTCTCCGAATGCTCCAGGCACGAAGGCTAAAAAATTCGAGTTTCAATTTCGGTCCGAAGCTCTTTTATTAAAATAATCTCTCGGGGCTACAATTAACACTTACAGTCTTGTGTGACGCAACTATCGAAAACTACGGTGGATATCAAGATTAAGATTATCTCAAATTGTGTAAATATACAGGATTTGAAAACATGTATAAATATTCCAAAACTAGTGTAAGATATTGAAATGGGAGGTTCCTCACATAATTTTAAATAACATTTTCCTTAGCGAAAAAGTTGTCCAAAGAGTGTTGAGGAGTTATTAACAGAAAACCATGACCAATCAGGCCGCTCGATTGGCGCGAACTCCGAATCGGGAGCGTTGGCTCGGATCCGAAAGCCCGGCCTATCAACAATCTATCATTTCCCCATAC